TTAATTATAACATATATATTTGCCATTTTGTTCGATAACTTGTTGCTATCTTGTAGGTAGATGACATAATCCCGTTGCTGTAGAAATTACGGTATTTTAGATTTAAAAAAAAAATGCGACAAGTTGTTTTGACAGCCCTCTCTTGATGTTAACCTAACACTAGCCAAATAATTCTGAAGAGACCGAAACAAGTGAAAATCTGAGATTGCGAGGTCAGGACTATATGATGGATGCATTAACACTTCCCAATCAAGATCTCTCAAAATTTGCTGAGTGGCTTAAGATCTATGGGGTCTGGCGTTATCATGATGAAAGACCACTTCTTTTCTCTTGATAACTCCCGGCCGTTTTTCATTCAATTTCTTGCTTGAGTTTTACTAGTTGTAGGCAGTAGAGATCCAAATCGATGTTTTTGCCCAGCTGTAAAAGCGTAAACGATGCCCTTCCAATCCCCCATACACACAGCATCACCTTATTGCGTGTTAATCCGGGTTTCGCTACAGTCTGTGGACTTGACTACCCTTTGACCATGATCTTTTTCGCATGATTTTGTCGTAGGTGATCCACTCTCATCACCAGTGATTAATCTTTGCAAAAATGGTTCAGTTTTATTGCGTTTCAATAGAGAATCGCAAATGAGTATACGATTCCTTAGGTTTCTTTCAGTGAGCTCGTATGGTACCTCAATATCGAGCGTTTTTGTTGTGTAGCCAGATTTTTTTCAAATGGGTCAAAAATATTTTGTGGTCAATCTTCAATTCTTTGGCTATGTCGTAACTACTAATATGCCGATCTTGATCGTATTATTCGTAAGAAGGCAACCAGAGCGATCTGCATCTTTGGCATCGAAGTTCCCGGACTGAAAACGCTTGAACCAACTTTGTGCTACTCTTTCTGAGACTGCATTAGGTCCATAAATGTCATAAATTTCTTTCGCGGCTTGCGTAGCATTTTTCCCTTTTTTGTAATAAAACTTCAGAATATATCGCTTTTCTCGGTTAGATTCACACATTTAGGCAGTTTTTTTTTATAGAAGAGGGGGCAAACGAGCATGCGGCTCACCTGATGTTAAGTGACTACCGCCGCCCATGATCAACCGCAACACCAGTGGAATTGCAGGTGCGTTGCCGGCCCTTTAGAAAGGAGTAAGCTCTTTTCTTGAAGGTCCCCAGGTCGTACGGCTCGGAAAAATCGCTGGTGGTAAACTATTCCACAGAGAGGTTGTACGCGGAAGAAAACTCCTCTTGAAACGTACAGTGGTGGACCGCCAAGCATCCAGATGGTGTGGATGGTATCGGGACGTTTGCCGCGTAGTGCGTTCACGAAATTTGGCGGTTGGGATTATTCCGAATAATTCCTCAGAGCACTCTCCATGGTATATGCGAAAGAAAATGCAAAGAGATGCAACATTTCTTCGCAGTGTCAGTGAATCGAGCCGATCGGAAAGCACTCGGTCGTCGAGGATTCGAGCCGCTCTGCGCTGGATGCGGTCAAGTGGAAGGAGCTGGTACTGGGGAGCCCCAGCCCAGAGATGGGAACAGTATTCCATGTGCGGCCGAACCTGTGCCTTATAAAGTTGCAGGCGGTGTGCCGACATGAAATACTGTCCCGCTCTGCTGAGCACGCCAAGCTTTTTAGAGGCCAATTTGGCCTTCTCTTCCAAGTGACCACGAAACTGCACGTCACTCGATACGTCGACGCCGAGGATTCCGATACTGGCTGAGGCAACAAGAGGAGTGCTTTGAAACAGAGGAGATACGACAAAGGGGTTTTTTTAGCGGTTAACACGCAAACTTGTGTCTTCTGGGGGTTAAACTGGACTAGATTTAGTCGCCCCCAATCCGAGACTCTGTTCAGCAAAGACTCGACTTCAGACACAAGTTTGTCCCGGCACTCGGAGACGTTTTTCCGAGAAATACTGGCTCGGCCGGTGTAAAGAGCATCACCAGTGCTGTCATCTGCATAGCAATGAACGTTACGGGTTTGCAACATATCACTGATATGCAGAAGAAACAGCGTTGGTGATAGTACGCAGCCTTGTGGAACACCAGCGTTAATAGGCTTGCAATCGGAGCTTGCACCGTCTACAACGACCTAGATGCCCCGATCTGCAAGAAAGCTGGTGATCCAATCGCACAATTTCTCGGGATGCCCATAGGAAGGGAGCTTCGAAAGAAGCGCTTTGTGCCAACCCCGATTGAAGGCTTTCGCAATGTTCAAACTAACGGCCAATGCCTCCCCCTTGGACTCTACTGCCTCTGCCCATCTGTGAGTTAGGTAGACCAGAAGATCACCAGCTGACCGACCACGGCGAAAACCGTATTGGCGGTCACTAATCAGGTGATCCTCAAGGTACCTCATGAGCTGGCAGTTTACTATGGACTCCATTGTTTTGGATAACAAGGAGGTGATGGCGATAGGCCGGTAGTTGGACGGGTCTGAGCGGTTGCCTTTTTTTAGGGATCGGGTGGACGAAACCGTCTTCCATGATTTTGGGACTACGTCCAGGGAGTAGGAGTACCGGAAAAGACGCGTTAAAACCGGCGCCAACTCTGGAGCACACGTCCTCAGCACAATTGGGGGATTCCGTCAGGCCCACTCGACTTGTGGATGTCCAGGGAGAGGAGTGCTTTGCGAACCGAGCGCTGTGTGAACTGCACTTCCGGCATGGAGCACTCACACCGCGGGATGGTCGGCGGCGTACTCCCCCCGTCATCGAGGGTCGAGTTGGACGCAAAGAAAGAGCCTAGAAGATCGGCTTTCTCCTTTGCGGTATGGGCCAGTGAGTCGTCCTCCCTGTGCAGAGATGGAAGAGATGGCTGACAGAAATTCCCCTTGACAGCCTTGGCGAGAGACCAGAATGCACGGGTTCCAGAAGGAAGGCGAACTAGTTTCTCGCCAATTCTGCCTATGTGCTCTGACTTTGCCTTGGCAATGACTCTTTTGAAGGAGCTAGAGGCGAAATTATACTTCTTTTTTAGAGCGCTGGTGTTTACATCCCGGGACGCTGATGCGTCAGCCCAGGCTTGGTAGCACTCCTGCTTATAGCATGATGCTATTTTACAGGAGCGACCAAACCATGGCTGAGATTTGCCTCCAATGGGCACCACAGAGGAAGGAATAAAAAGTTCCATACCCTGAAGCACCACATCAGCGATAGAATCCGCAACAACGTCCGGCGAGAAGCAACCCCGCCCCCAAGGGTAGGATGCAAAGAAAGACCTCATCCCATCCCAATCGGCTGACCTATAGTGCCATACACGGCGGCAGCCTGCAGAATGCAACTGCGATTTCAGCGTGAGTGGCACCACACTCCGAAAAAGACAATGGTCCGAGGAGCCTAAAGGGGCGTCGACGGAAATCTGATATCCGTCCGGGTGAGAGGTCAGCAGAAGATCCAAGAGGGAAGGTGCATGATCCTCCACATCTGGATTCCGCGTAGGCGAAGTAACCAGTTGAGTCAGACCATATGCCAAGGCAAAATCATGAACAGATCTCCCCGCATGATCGGTTAAACGTGAACTAAGCCGCACACAAGAGGCACAAAGGAGTGTTCCAGTTTGTACCCCGGGTAGGAGAGATACGAGACATCAGCCGGAGAGGACACCGGCGTCTCGTTCAGAAAGAGCAGAGCCGGCCTCGCCGTCTCGAGATGGTAGTGGACGGCGTTTAGGTTAGAGTGAAGTCCCCTGATATTGCAGAAATTCACGGACAGCGTGGCAGGGGTCGCCTTGGTCTTGTTGCTCCGTTTGCCCCGAGCAGTTGTAGTCTTGAGCGGAATTTAGATACAAAACAATTGAAAAATGGCGGGAAAGTATTGTTTCTCTTTCTTTTTCTTAATATCCTATAAGTATCGATATTAAAACCAACCAGATACAAACAGTACAGCCCAAGAGATTTCTCTTCAATTTTATACAAACAAAATACGAAGATTTCAGTGTTTTTTTAAATTATCTGCCTCTATAGGCAATATTGACAAGTCTGATAAAGGTCAGTTTTATTTCAAAAAAATTTATTTAGCTGTTGTAGTTGTAACCGGAAGGGTATAGAATATGCTATTATTACCTCGGGAAAACTGGTTGCTAGGCTACTGAATTTTGTCATCAATAATGCTATGAGTTCCTTATTGGAATGAATTTTCTGAATTTCAGATTTAAGCACATTTTCAAAGTAATTATTTGTTGTGGAAATCGGAAGAAAAATAATATATATAAATTCCGATTATCCACCCGTCTAAGGAACTATTATTTCTAGGCAACTATTTGTTTAGCCCCTGAAATAGAGGTATAATATCATAGTTTAGGGACTAATGACCACTTTAAATTTTGTGCTTGTAATATGTTTATCAATAAAGATAACTATTTCTTTAGGTACATTATTATAATTTTCGTTTTGTATCGAACCGAATTTGTATCGCAAAACTAAAGAAAATTGGTCATTTTTTGACAGACCTTTAAGCATGTTGGGCACTATTTGGTAATATGATTTTTTTTCTCTGGAAGTACGGCCTAAGAGTTTAAGTGAGATTGTGGATAACATTTTACGAATTTTCGCTTACACACGTTGGGGGCCCCTGTAGCCCCATATCATTGATACGGCTGATACGGCCGTAGCTACGCCCCTGGCTGTAGCCCATACACATCTACACCTATCATCGATTAATAATCAAAATACAGACGCTCTTAGTACTAAGATGGTATGAACTCTCTAGTAAAAATGGTCTCTGATTCTCTACACTCATCATGCGAATTGCATCGCAACGCTGTAATTTCACGCTAGTATTCTGTGAGCGCGTGGTTCCTACCGGGTCCGGGCGACCCAATCGTGCTATAGTCATGGTATAATATAGCATTGCTTTAACACGCATAAAAATGAATGTTAATTTGAAGATTTTTTCTAATATTACTAGCTTAAAAACAAATGAATAATAATGGCTTTACAGTGTTAATTGTAGCTCTTTATTATATGTCACTATTGAGATCTCTCTTTACTATTTACAGGTATATCGTCTCCGACTAAACAAGTGACCGGAAACCAACAATATCGTCTCGAATTAAGGTAAGTGAGAAACTAATACTTTACAATATAGTACAAACAGTTCATTATATAAAGCCGTTGGTAGAGTCGTGGTAACCTAGGGACTAAGCAATTGCTGTAAATTTCAAAGTGCCCGGTAAAAATTCATCGACCTACAAATCGTATCTATCGTCCGCAATCCGCACCAATAAAAATTACGTGCAATTTTAAGTGCCGATTAAGTGCATACACAGCGGTGAAAGAAAACAAGAAAAATGATGCGAAAACATGATTTGAAGATTGCTAACACGCATGGGGACAGCGAGTTGGACATTAATATTCTTGGCCTAAAACCCTCTCAAAAATGAGAGTGACACTTCCTCAAAAGTAGTAGGTACATAGGCTGCAACTTTTATTTAATACTTAGCGATACTTTAACTTCTTATACGCTTGGCCTATTGTGAATCCTGAAATGCTGATTCAGCTGGGCATCATCTGCGTACAGGTGATGCTTGTTAGATTTCAATAAGAGTTCAAAAGCTAACGATGTCTACAAGCAATAACATAAAGTGCTTCACATATTTTAGGCGCTCTAACTCACGCGCTATCTCGTGTTATTCAAAGGAACGAGATACAACATTCCCGTTCTTGTTTACCCGTATATACAATATTGCGTCGTGTTGATAAAATTTAATGGAGGCAAAGTTTTTTAACCCTGACAATATAATAGAACAAATGATTGTTCAATATAGGTTATGAATAATTCTAAATAATTATTATTTAAAATCCTTTTTCCTTTGACCACTGGTTCGGAAAAAACCTCTGTACTGGGGAAAACTAGCAAGAAACCAAGCAGAACTTTTTTCACCGCTTTAACATACAACACTCATATAAGAAACAGCTTGCGATCACATCTTACCAACCATGTATTCATTCATAATATAATAACCCTTTTATAAAGTCTTTTATAAAGTTAAAAATTAAATAATTTAAATATTTTGTATTAGAGAGACTTGTCCATTTTCTAAGATTTTATATAGTGTATGAGTAGTGTATGCATTGCCCCACGAATAAGGTATAGGCTCTGTGTAGTCGAATAACTAGAATAACAAGCTTTTCTTTGTACCTGGTGTTAAGAGAGTGTATACTTATCATTTATTTCAGTTCTAATACGTGGAGTATTTTATGTTTTTTAACTCTAATAAAATATCTGAATATACACTTAGTTATATACAAGTACCTAAGATTATATTATATTTATAATTTTTATTATATTAATGGTTTTGTCACTCTTATATATAAATAAATAATTATCACAATAAAAAATTATCAGACGGCCACCCAGTTCACCAGATGCGGAGGTGGTTTACACGTTTAAATTGAACAATTACACACATTCGGTCCTGGAACAATTAATTGTAGGCCATACAAACACTTGTTTTATCCATACAGCGCCGTGACCAACCGCTTAACCACTGCGCTACTGGAGCGTCGACACTTTAAATGCAATAAATATTGTCCTCTAGACAGAATTTCGGTCACGGCGGCCTCAACGGAGAATAGCCATCGGAGACAGGATAATAGTGCGCTGTGTGTAGCAAGCAAGCTCAGGTGCACTCTCTATTCCCTCACTCTCATAATCTGATGGGACAGTAAACCAACACGACCGGAGAGAGATCAGGCACAGAACCAACACCTTTACGTGCTTTCCGAGGCATGAGAGTGAGACACTGCCAACTTCCTGATTCCAGGCAGGTACTGAGAATTTCTTGGCGGAAAATCTCAATAACTGATTTTTTGGCCCGACCCAGGATTCAAACCCAGGACCTCATGATAAGCAGCCGCACTACTACAACCACTAGACCAATGAGGCAATCAACAACCTGCAATAGTATTTATATAAGTATAGTATTTTGGTGTTTTCAACGTAGGCTTTAATCTAAATTATAAATGTTGATCAGTATCCCCCTGCCATCGAGATGGAGACAAATTTCAAAAGGTCATCATTCAACCCAAGCGCGTAATAAATTCCGAAACAACACCCAGCTGTCGCTAATGTGGGACTGAAATTGTAATTTATTATTTATTCCTGCACTCCGTAAGCGTAAACAATCTTGTAATAATTGAGTTTTGTGTAATTTTGGAGTTTTCGTAACATTTTTTTATTTAAGTATCATCATACATGATTATAAAATGTTTAAATTTTTGCAAATTAACTTTTAGAGATTTTAAGTTAAAAGGTATTTTTTCAAAGAATCAAGGATACAAAGAGCACGCAATACACGTGATGATAACTGGATGATGTCGCCCACAGAATCCTATATCAATAGTCTTACGACTAACATGGAATGACTCATAATACTGATGATTAATTCTTTGTACTTTGTGTCATATCGATTTATGCTTCGACGTGCAGTTTCATGGTCCCCTGGAAGAAAACGCTAAATTGGCCTCTAAAAAGCTTGACGTACTCAGCAGAGCGGGACAGTATTTCATGCCAGCACACCGTTGTTAAGAGACACAGGTTCGGTATTACATGAAATACTGTTCTCACATCCGGGCTGGAGCTCCTCAGGGCCAGGTCCTTCCACTTGCCCGCCTCCAGTGCAAAGTGGCTCGAATCGTTGACGAAAAGATGTTGCACCCCTTTGCATTTTCTATTACATTAAGTTTTAATTATTTTGTGTTTTGAGGAATTGTTCGGATTAATTTTAGCCGCCAAATTTTACCAACGCACATCGCGACAAATATTTTGTTACTATTCACGTATGACCGCCTTGTTGGTCTAGTGGTTGTAATAGTGCCACTGCTGATCACGAGTTCCTGGGTTCGAATCCCGGGTCGGGCCAAAAAATTAATTATTTAGTTTTTCCGTCAAGAAATTCTTGGTAGCTGCCGGAGTCAGGAAGTTGGCGGTGTCTCACCCCCGTGCCTTGGAAAGCACGTAAAGCCGTTGGTCCTGCGCCTGATCTCTCTCAGGTCGTGTCGGTTTACCGTCCCATCGGATTGTGAGAGTGAGGGAATAGAGAGTGCACCTGCTTGCGCATACACTTGGGCACTATAATCCTGGCCTGCGCCGATGGTTAGTCTCCGATGGCTAGTCTCCGATGAGGCTGGCCGCCGTGACCTAAATTCGGTCTGGGGGACATTATTACTATTCACGTCATCTGGATGCTTTTCTTCCTCGCACGACAAGTGTGTGGAATAATTTACAACCGGCGATTTTCTAGACCGATATGAATTACTACTTTTTAAAAGGCTGGCAATGCACCTGCAATTCCCCTGGTGTTGCATTTGCGTTGGCGGCGGTCAACAATTACCATCAGGTGAGCCGCATGCTCGTTTGCCCCCTCTTTTATAAAAAAATGTTTAATATGAAATGATAAAAAATCAAATTATTACTTTGGATAATTAAAGGCGAAATTAATATTTTGCTTTATGAAGTTCAAGCTTAATAAAAAACGACAGGAAATTAAGAGATAGCAGACGTCAATTAACTTTCATCATTCTAAATTGAAAAGAATTTGCGTGGACGTAACAACGATATTACCCAGTCTCATATAAAATTGATATTTAAGTCAAAATTATTGCTACGAATTTTAAATTACAATTCTGTCAAATATTTAGTGTGCGACACGATTAATAATACCACTAACTCACGTCATTTTTATAGTACCGAGGCATTATATCATCCAAAACTCTTAATTCACTGGCGGCAGGACCTTTTCTGCTCAGGGGTCCGTATGGCTAGGAGTCTAGCAACTCTCATACGTATTTCTGCCGCCAAACAGCTTTGCCTGCACTGCTGTATTCGGGTCAGAAGGGTAAATAGAGCCAGTATAATAAGATAAAGTATAAGAAGAAGGCATTCCACCCAAATCCTCAGAGATGACAACGGTCTAGTATACTGAAACTTCTCAATTAGCAGTCTCCTGCCAGCAAGCGCTATGTGGCGGTACTTCCCATCCACCGAGAGTTATTTCTGCAGTGTGCACTTCCATATTCCAGTATGAAGGTTATGGAAATTTTTTGCATGACAGAGTCATGCTGTAGCTATATTAATAGTATAGTTGAAGCACGAATGGGTAGGCTCAACCAGGGAAGGACTACGCTCTCGCGGAATACCAGCATAAAATAGCAGCTCAGCATTGCTATGTTTTTCACTGGAAACGAGGCACTCGTCTTAGAATGTTACCACACCAAGCGATCGATCGTCTATTGATAATTGAACAACGTTTTAACGACCACTATCTGTCGATCAGCTAAAGCTACCACACCAATCGATCGACATCGATCTACGTCGATCAATGGCATCGATCGACAATCGATCCATTGGTGTCGTAACACCTTTATTCCTCACGGGTGATAACGCATCTACACTTTAATTCGTAATCGAGGATAGATGTAGATATCTATGGGCCACAGCATCCACTTACCATCAGGTGGACTGTGTGCTCGTTTGTCACCCTTATCCTATAAAAAATAGAGAGCTTATATAATCACAGGCTGTGAGGCATTCCATACTGATACTACACTTTGTTATAAGAGGTGGCAATGCGTCTGCAGACTTCTTTGTTTGAAGTCGGCTGCTGGAGTCAATGAACTGCACTTGCTTCTTACCAACAGGTGGACTGTAATTTCGTTTTTGAGTACATTTTTTAACTCTATGGTTGTATCCAAATGGGATACAAACAATAAAACCAAAGAGATTTTTCTTCAATTTTATATAAACAAAATATGAAAAATCTTTTCACCGACCGTATACTTTTAGCAAAATACGTCCAGTTAGAGTTCAACGTTCAAGACAGACATTCCTCTATGTTTCAGTATCCTCAGTCGTGGTAGCTTAAAATATAATTCAAGCTTACCAATTCCCTTAACGCCTCACTGAAAACTTTCCAAGGAGGCCTTAGGATTAGATTAACTGTTTGCTTAAAGCTTTGAGTACAAAAGATGCTCAGTGGAAAGTAATTACTTAAATAGTAAGTACCTAATAAAAGAGGTAATGACCAATAAAAGTTTTATTATCTATGTTAATACGAGTACTGTTCGGTAGTAAGAGTATTCAATGACCTTGATAATGTGATCCATTTCATATTCGGACCAAGAGACTTCATTTCAATTTCGAATAAAGAATGTTAATCTATGTTTGCTCGTTTTACTTTTGGGTCTCTTTGGCAAACTTTTATAAGACAAATATTAATTTCCTCTTCAAAAGAAACCAGGCAAATGATGATTAATAAAGTTTTTCGTAAACAATATAGGTCAATTAAATAAATGCCACAGACTTCTATTTGGCGTATTTGTTTTTGTCTTCATCAACATCATTGCAGCTTAGCACAAGTTTACTAAGGACTATGGGATCCTAAAAGTATAAAATCACTACGTTATATAATAGGCTGTAGGACTGTTGGACACTGATGGAATGTTGGACTTTGTGATTGTTAAGTAACTACAAAAACAAGTTTTCTCATGAAAATATGGGATTTATTGGATGGATTTTGCGATTATTAGATATATGTCGTTTATTAGATATTAGATATTTATTAGGTATATAGCCACAGAGTTGCCGCGCTTTGTATGTGCGCCTAACAACTTAAAGAAGCATTTTGAGACATGTGAAGAATTGAATCATCAAGAGTTCGTGTTCACATCCGTGTTGGGGCTGGAGCAGTTCACCAGACTCTGCCTTGAATCAACTGTCGGGCTTTAGTACACGAAGTAGTGACTCCTTATCTGCCTATAGATCTCTTACCTATTTCAGCGCTCGCACTGCTGTGTTCTGGTCTGAAGGGTATAAAGAGCCAGTACACTTACAGGCCATGGAATGAAGTTTAAGATTTTTATATATTATTTTATTAAAAACTTAACTGTGACACAATAAAACTAACGGTGGAGAGGGTGGGCTACGCAGGCTGATGATGATAACAACATATAGGTTTTTATTTTTTATTTTAAAACTTAATTTTTTTTCTTAAAACTTATTCCTACATTAATGTTGCAACTTTATTTAATCCTTATTTATATTGTTACACATAGTGGTAGATTTTTTTTAATCATTGATGTTAACAAGGCAGATGTTCTGGCATTGGTTTCTCTGTTTCAACTACCAATCATGTTCTACTGGAAAACGTGATTGGTAGTTAAAATTTTGTTTATTTCCCAAAGGAAATTTACTTAAGGCTTCCGAAAGGAGGCGCGAAATTGATTTAAAAACTTATGAAACGTTTTTCTTGTAAAACCACAAAAATTGTTTTTCTAAATGTTTTGCTTGCTTGTTCTTGACTTTTATTAAACTAATTGAAATACAACATACGTACTATCCAATGCCGAAATTGTAGAATGGTTGCAAAAAGTATTGTTCTTTTTTCGTAATCAGTTCATCTATTTCTTATTCCTAAACGTGTTATGGCGGTGTAAGAATATCCATTAGGTACCACGTATTGTCCCACGGGTGCCGTGAGGGGCGACAGAGAGGAACAGACCAGGAGAAGGGCAGCAGCAACTCGCCTGCTAAGCGTGACACCTACGGAAAAATCCTCCCATGATCCATGGTGTCGTCTGTCAGATGAAAAAATATTTTCATAGAAGTAAAACTAATTTTTTTCATGTTCAAAAACCAATTTAAAAAAAAACACTTTGTTTATTTAATGATATGAAATTTAAGTACACTAAGATATTATGTTAGCCTGCAGATATAGTTGTTTTATAAAATAATTAAATAAATAAATAAATATGTTACTGATGCTATCCTTAATCGCCATTAGTTTTCATAATGGTAGGTGGCCCGGTTGATCAATATTATTGTAAAAACTTGAAGTTCAGTGATTAGCATTCTTAAAGCTGCTATTTACAAGGGTGAGTAACACTGTGGGGTAAATTTTGAATTTTTCTCAAAATTAATGTCCCTCTTGTTCAAGGAGAGTCATCGAGCTAAATGTAAGGGGCTTCACCCTTCATAATTTTCAATAATATGGAATATTTCTCAATTCATGAGAATTTTAAATAATTATAATTTGAAATTCCAATAAACACATTTCCATAAAACCCGTTTATGGTTGTTCTTTTAAATTTATTTTTCTAATTATAACATATTCTTTTCTTTTTTTTTCTTTTCGACCAGTAAAAGCCCAGTGCTGATCATGAGCCTCTCCCGCTGTAGGAAATATTACGTTAACGTTACGTTAACGTTAAAGTATTTAAAATACTCAAAGCGTACATGTAATGTACATGTAAAACGTACATGTTTACCGTTTAGCTTTATTGTTCCTTACTTTTATTTACGTTATTTCTTGTTAACTCATAGAAATACATAGTTATTATTTTGTATGTATTGGTATTGTGTACATTTTTTACCTTTCAATTTGAAGGTTAAGTTAAAATCAACTTTTCAAATTGATTTTAACTTATAATGTTACTTATTAATATGTGGGACTTTCAAGTATACATCAGTTCCAGGGCCTGAATCAGAAGAGCCAGTTGCAGTCTAAAAGTACCGATTTTGGAAACAGTCAGTTTTTCAATTGATGTTGGTACTTATTAGTAATAACATTTTTAGAAACGACTATATATTCCCATTCAGTAAGTGTTAATTTTATTACATTATATATTAACAAATATGTATATAGGTACAGAAAGTTATAGTAATAAGTTTAAGCTGGTAGTGCACCTTATTATAGTGCAAGTGTGTGTGTATCATACTTATATCTACGATAATAGACAATAAGAACGTAGACATAAAATATCAAGAATTTTTAGGGACTATCGTAAAATCCTTTCTTAGTGAGCTTCTACATTGCAAAAGGAGTCACTATACTTTCAAGTCAATCGGGTGTATAGTTTTGGAGATATCGTGATGAGTCAGCCAGACAGTCAGGCGAGCTAAGAGGCTTATTGGTGACCCGGATTTGTAAACGTCCCACTGCTGGGCATAGGCCTCCGCTCATTTCTGAGAGGGTTTTAGGGCACGGAATTGTCCGCCGCGCTGCCCCAATGCGCGTTGGCGAACTTCACATGTCTTCGAAATATTTTTTTTCCTTATATCTCTGACATGCAGGTTTCCTCACGATGTTTTCCTTCACCGCCGAGCACTTGGTAAATCAGCACTTAAAATTGCAATTAACAATTTCATTGGTGCCGGCGGGGATCGAACTCGGTTTGCTCGCGTACTGCGAAATTTACAGCGAGCGCTAACCACCTGAGCTACCACGGCTTCTTAATAGATATGTGCAAATACTGAATGTTTAATATAGAAAACTATAAGGTGATACTATCACCCTATTAATGAACATTTTATTAGGGTTGTTAACTAGAGAAGTAAGTAAGTAGCTTAGTATTACTCATGGCTTTTGGAAAGAAGCTGAAATAAAAGTGATAATCTCATGCAAATCACGCATTATGATCAGTAATTTATTATCAAATTTTATTATTAAAACGTCAATTTTTAAATAAATATTCTCTAATTAATAGAGTCTACATCACCTAAGGATGCCTCGTGTAGAGGCGAAACACGTGTCGTATTATCGTCGATGGTGTGTCTTTCCTGGAGTAGTGGTATTGGGAGTAGTGGTGCTGGGACTAATGGTGACGAAATTAGTGCACGCAATTGAGGAAGGGTGGGAGGTGCTTTTCAATCCATGTAAGACACATCATTGTATTTAGTTAGCGGAAGGTTTCAAATTAATCAATATCTTTTTTATAACAAATATTAATTATTTCAAGGACAATAAACAATAATTTATAGTTTTGTTTTTATTATACTGTTTGTTTCTCGAATCGAAAATGATAATTTAGCTCACTATTAACATATTTCCATCAAAGTTAACTGATTGTATGCCGGCTAAGTGAATTACGGGAATATATTATGTAGTACATTAAGGTAATTTCCAATAAATTTTGTTATTTTACTCATTTTATTATCGATTTTTACATATTTTTATATATCAATGACTGAATATCACGTGCGGGCAGTGTAACTACGTCACTAACATAATTAACGTCGCAATGGTAAGTCCTATAATAGCGTGAATTTGTTATTGCGACATCTAGCGTCACGTATGAAATTTTTTTCGCCAATCTCAGAAGCTATTTGGATTAAGACACAATAATATCTATTGGTAAAAATTTATGGTGCCTTTTCGAATAACCACGTTATTACAGCGACATCTAACGTAAAGTAGCTGTATTTAATCATTAATTCTAGAAACTTCTTTGATGGAAATGAATATGATCTTTATTTTGAAGATTTGAAGAGACAACGCAACTGTAGCCTGCTTTGTTGGAAATTGGCTGCTGGTGTCCAAAGACTGCAACAGCCACTTACCATCAGGTGCACTGTGGGATCGTCATATACATGGTCACTTCATTTTTATATTAAAAATGAAACTAAGAACACTCTTTTTTTTAAATGATATTGTCTGCGTCTTATTTTCGTTGTGATATTCGAAACTAAAAATTTCGTTCCTAAAATGTTGCAATACAAAGAGAATAAAAACAATAAAATCCTCCTGCGCAAATAAGTTGCATGGACTGTTTAATAAAAGCTTATTTGATTTCATTCCAAACTACGCGCGATGAAACTAGGAATTTTCTGTTGCAGACACGATATTTTACATTTATACATTTTGACTACTTCTTATTCTTTTATTTATTCATTTTATTTTATTTTTATTGCTTAATATAATAACATACAAAGGAGATGGACATGGTTCCATACAAGCTTGGGCTCGGCGTGTACAAAGTCCAAATATGTCTCATTTTGAAGATTTAAACATTTGCTAATTATGTCAAAAAATCATATTTCTGCAGGACCTGGGGTTTTTTTATTTTATTTTTCTTTTTATGATTTGTAGGTTATGTTGTTAAATGTTTCATTTTTGTCAAAAGTTGCTTCAATAATTTTAAAAGGACACCTAAATGCAGTTTTGTAGTAATTATTGAATAAAATAAAATAAAATTCAAACTTTTTTATTATTTAATTATTTTCTTCACTTATCAACAAAATATTATTTAGAAAAGCAGCCGGAGGCTGCAATTTTCTGTTATATTTCTCTCATAACCCAAGTACCACGTTATTGTCATTGTGTGGGTGCAACAACCTACTATCCTTTAACCGACCTTGCAGTTACAATAGTAAGCTAGTATGGCGTCTCGGCCGGTTAAAGAGCTGTCAATTAAAATATAACAAAAGTATATTTTTTGGCCAATGTATCTAGACTTTATTCTGCCTCCTAAGGCCATGCAGTGGCCGAAGTTTACATCTGTTGCAGTATGTCTTACGCCCCCTCCCTGCTCAGTTCTATTTAGAAGGTTCCGTTCGCTCTTATATGTTCACCATAGTACGAACGGGCCTGTTTTAAGCTGAGGAAGATCGTTAATATTGTTTTCGTTTATGTTTATGAATAGGGACCGTCTCATATTTAAATTGTCACTACTAACAAAATCAACAAGAATGTTCTTCTCCCTATTCATATTATCGTGGAAAACTTATAGGATTTCCCCAGCATCAGGGCCATAGATTACTGACTACACACTAGAGATAGATGAGCAACTCAAATTTTATTTACGTTAAGTTCCGCGACCATCCGTCAGATGGCGTAAAATTAAGAGTGCTTTGGGCCCGCCCTTTATTTGCACTTTATAATTTTAAATTTTTAGAACCATTAATTAATTGAAAGTGCGTACGGTTCTTTATATTTCTTGTGCTAATTGCTA